TCTCTCGAGAGCAAGAGAGTACACGGCGCTTTCTCGAGCAGACCGAGCCCTCGCGACATGATGCTCGACGGTCGACGTTGCATCTGGACAGCTCGCCGTCGCTCTACTTGTCTGCCTCCTCGCCAGTGCCCTCGCCCGCTTCGGCACCCATTCCGCCGTCCTTGCGCACCTGCTCAATCTCGGCTTCAACCGCCGCCGCCTTGTCCTTCTCGTCCGGGTTGACGAGCGCCGACGAGACGAGGAGCACCTCCTCGAGCTGTGCGTGTCACGGGGTCGAGAGCGTCGGCGAGGCGAGTGAGGGGAAGGAAGAGGAGCAGACGTGCGGGAGGGAGGGTTCGTAAGTGGCCGGCCCCGAGGCGAGAGCGAGAACGAGAGGACGGACCTTGCGGTACTGCGCCGCCTTGGCCGACGGATGCGCGACGTCCTTGGCGAGTTTGGCGTAGGCATCGAGCGTCGATCGAAGGGCAGAGATGGCTGTACGAGCGAGAAACAAGGCGAATCAGTGAGGCGCTCGAGAGTATGAGAGATGCGAGAGAGAGAGCCGGCGGGCGCACCTTCCTCGCTCGCGCTCTTTGCCGTCACGACCTCCTCGGCGTCGAGCGGCAAGGGCGTCACCTCGGCGTCGTCGTCCTCGTCGTCCTCGGCCGCATCGTCGGCGTCGGGGCGGAACTTGGCCTCGACGGCGTCCTCGAGCAGGAGGAACTTGGACGCCTTGGCGTCGGCGATGACGACATCGACGACGAACGCGTGCCGTGCGTGGTCCTCGGCGCCGAGCGCGTGGCCCTTGTACCGCTCGAGGGCTTGAACCGCCGTGTCGAGCTCCTCGAGCGACGCCTCGCGGTCGCCGCCGACGTTGCCCTCGACGAGCGCGATGCGCGCAGCCGCCGCTCGCGAGACGGCGAAGAACGAGTCGTCAAAGTCGTGGTACTGGCCCTCGGCGCGCTCGGGCTGGTACCCGCCGACCGACTCGAGCGAGCTCCAGAGCTTGGCCCAGTCGTCCTCGACGAGCTCGGCGAGCTGCTCGTCGTCGTCGTCGCGACCTGCACCTTCTGCGCCCGACAACTCGTCGATGTAGCGCGCGACCGCGAGCCAGTACTGGCCGCGGGCGAGCGCGACGAGCGCGTCGGCGTCGGCGCCGTCGCCCGACGTGGTCGAGTGGGACTGGGTGATGACGCCGTCGACGAGGCGGTCGAGCCGCTGGTACGCGGCGGCGATCCACTCGACGCGGGTCTGCGGCTCGCGCACGTCGATCTTGCGGCGCTTGGACCCGGCGGCGTTGCGGACGGCGGCCGACGCGGCGCCGACGACGTGCTCGGGCGGCTCAAACAGCTCGCCGAGGTAGTGGAGGGCGAACCCCTGAAGGAACAGGAGGTGGCCCTCGGCGAGCGCGTCCGACACGCCCAACGCGTCGAGCTTGTCGGCGCCCAGATCGGCGGCGCGCTTGTCGCGCTCCGAGTCGGGCCCGCCGTCCTTGGCCTCGTCAAACTTGGTGACGAGGGGCTCGAGAGCTGCGCAGCCGTGGAGGATACCGCGCAGGAACGAGCGCGCCTCGTCGAGGCGGTCCGGGTCGGCGTCGTCGAGGGTGAGCGAGGTCGGGAACGGGTACAGGATCTCGAGGACCGAGGTGCGGAGCTCGAACAGGTCGGCGAGCGTGAGGGCGTCGTCGTCGAGGGGCGCCGTCTTGGCCTGGTTGAGGTCGACGGCCTTGTTGTCGGACGTGTCGTTGGCGAGCGTGGCCGGGTCGACGGGCGCAGCGCGCTTGGACGCCTTGAGGCCCTTGGGCTTGGGCGGCATGACGGGGCAGGGGTCGAAAGTGGGTACGGTTGGGGAGAGTCTGCGAGACGTGGGAAGCAGGGAATCAGCCGGACTGTCGAGGGAAAGAGCTGGAGAGATGAGGAGGCGGAGGGGGGACGAGGTTGGCGACGAGGACAGGCGAGGTTGCGGGAGGAAGGCGAGGGGCTCACAGGTAGAGGCTCGGTCCAGTCTATAGCTCGTTCGAGGCTGCAGAAGCAAGAGGCGAGCGTCGAGGGTCGAACCAAGAGGTGAGCGGGACCGACGACGTCGAGCTGTCGACCTCTCTCGCTTCGACACACCCGAGAGCCATGTTCAAGAAGTGCGTGGCCCTTTCCTAGACTCCCAGGACCACGCCGAGTCCTGCGCTGACCTGTCCCTGCCTCCCCTCCTCCCTCTCCCCCTCCTCATCGCTCCCCCTTTCGTCCCTCTCGAAACTCGCCGACCCCACTGCGAGTAGCTTCCAGCCCAAGGAGCACATCGCGGGCAATGCCCCGATGAAGACGTCGGCACAGCGCAACATTCGCAACAAGGTCCTCGAGCAGCTCCCCTTCCTCGCCCTCCCCGCCGTCCCCTCGACCTCGTCGGCACCGGCCGCCGCCGCCGCCGCACCAGCTCCCGCACCCGCCGCGACCGCCGACTCGGACGCCGAGGACGACGACGCAGGTGGCAAGCGGGGCAAGAAGGCGGGCAAGAAGGACAAGGGCGCAAAGGGCGGCAAGAAGGGCGGAAGGAGGGGAGGCGACGACGAGCCCGCCGCACCGGCGAGTGCGGGTCCGGCAGCGGCAGCAGCAGACGGTGACGCAGGTGCGGCCGACGACGAGGGCCTGACCGTCCTCGACCTCATCTGGCCCAAGAAGGAGACGCTGTCGCTCATCAAGTGGTGCGTCTCCCCCTCTCTCTGTCTCCCTCTTGCGCTCTCTGCGAAACTTTCGACTGACTCTCTGTCGTCACTGCAGCCGGGAGCACATCTCGATCTATGCCGTCCACGGCGAGCCCCTCTTCTTCCAGCACTTTGACGGCCCGTTCTACCCGACCCTCAAGGTCCTCCACCGCTGTGCGTCCTCTCTCCCTCCCCTCTCCCTCCTCCCACATGCGTAAAGGCCTACTCACTCACTCGTCACGCACTCCCAGTCCCCGGCATGCTTCCTCGAGTCGGCGTCGACCGCGGCGCCATCAAGTTCGTCCTCTCGGGCGCCAACATCATGTGGTGCGTCCTCGATCCCTCCCTGCTCTCAGCGTCGGCGCCGCTCGCCTCTGTTCCCCCTCGCAATGGACTCGACGCTTACTCTTGCCCGCACCCTGCCCACAGCCCCGGCATGACGTCGGCGACGGGTTACCTCCCGCCCTCGGAGCACAACATCCCGTCGGGCACGCCCGTCGCCGTGTACGCGTACGGCAAGGAGCACCCGCTCGCGATCGGCCTCACCAAGATGTCGACCAACGACATCCGCGACCTCAACAAGGACATTGGCGTCGAGAACGTCGCCTTCCTCGGCGACGACTTGTGGAAGGTCGACAAGCTCTGAGCCCGGCCCTTTGCCTCTTGTCGTAGACGAGCAGTGCAATTCTGTACATGTCACATCTCGGTCGGTCGAGCGCCTCGCACGAGAGAGAAAGCTGCTCAAGTCGCTTGCCTGCGGTCGGACCTCTCCGGGGTCGCTCCGCTTTCGCGCTTTCACGGGCTCGTGGTCGCCGATTGCGCTCGAGGAGGGCACTGCGAAAGAGTCTAGTTGCAATTGACGACAGCTCGAGAACCCAGAGAGAGACAGAGAGGGGCACAAGAACGCTCGAGAGGCGCGAGCTCAGGGCTGCGTCGAGAAGAGGCGGTCGCCCGAGTCGCCGAGTCCGGGCACGATGTAGCCGTCCTCGGTCAGCTGCGAGAACAGGGACGCGTCAGCATCATGCTGCCGCACAGCAGGCAAGAGCCCGGCCCGGCCAGAGGAGGGAAAGAGAGGGACGCACCTCCTCGTCGACCGCGCACGCGTAGATGTCGAGCCCGGGGTACGCCTCTGCGACCTTTTGCAGGCCCGGCTTGGAGCCGAGGATGCACAAGAGCTTGATCTGCGACACGTCGAGGCCCCAGTCGAGCTGCGACGAGGGAGGTCCGTGCGAGAGAGTCAGTGACGAACCGAGGGCGCGCACGATGGAGGCTGAGCACGCTCGACGAGAACGTGCAGAGGCCTGGGAGAAGAGACCGCGACGCACAAGGATAGAGATGGCGGCGATGGCGGTGCCACCGGTGGCGATGAGCGGGTCGAGGAGGAAGAGCGTGTCGACCGTGACCGTCTTGGGCAGCTTCTGGTACTGTGTGCCTCGCTCAAAGTGTCAGTGGCGTCGCTCCATCAAGAGAGAGGTAGAGAAAGCGCCACGCACGTATTCGACGGGCTGGAGAGACACCTTCTCGCGGAAGAGGCCGAGGTAGAAGACGGACGCGTCGGGGAAGAGGTCGAGCATGGCTGCGGACGTCAAGGGCGAAGTGAGCAACGACCCTGACTCGGCCAGCAATGAGAGCGGGACGCACGGTCGGTCATGCCGATGCCGGCGCGCAGGATGGGCGTGAGGCCGACGCGAGGAGCAATGGCCTTGCCCGTGAACGAGGCAATCGGGCTCTTGAGCTGTCGCGAGGAGGCAGGGGTTAGTCTGGTGCTTCTGCCCGTGTCGCTTCGTCCTGGCCGACCTCCTGATCGAGCAGCCGCTGCGTCGCAGCTCGGACTGCGACGGCGAGGGGCACGTGTGGGGGCGCGAGGAGGAAGCGACGACTCACGCCGGGCACGTCCTTGACGGGCAGGTCCCTCGACGCCTCGATGCCGAGCACGGTCGACAGTTCCTTGACGAGGGCGCGGAAGCGGTGCGAGCTGGTGCGGGCGTCGCGCAGCTCGGAGAGCTTGGCCTGGACGATCGGGTGGGAGAGCACGTTGACGGACATGGTTCAGGGCGGGATGTGGGTATGACGGGTGCTAGGCGACGTCTGCTGGTCGAGTGGGTGCAGTGGGTAGTGCGGTGTGCGAGGTAGACCGAGGTTGGGAGGAGCGGGCGAGAGGCGGGTGGACGAGGACGAGGACGAGGTGAGTGAGGGTCCTGCAGAGAGAGGGGACTTGGGAGGGCGCACGCACGAGGTGTATAGGCCGACTCATAATATAACACCAAGA